CATGCGCTTAGAAAATGTAATCTCATGCTCTTTTCTTTCAAAGAAAAATGTTCTTAACAGACAAAAAAAAAAAAGTGTTTTGTCAGTGGCCCATGCATTAGAAAACAGTTGGTTTTACCATTTGTATTGGGAAATGTGTCACAGCGGCAATGTCCTAAACCACAAAATAAACAGGTCCCTCCCCCGACCCCGCCGCTCCGGCCTTTAAATTGTTATGCTCCGTATATAAAATATTAGTTGTGACTTGAAATACCCCTTATAACTTCTAGCACCTTTGCATCTGAAAATGTAAGATGATTGTCTAAATCTGCCTTACCTGGATGGTATAAAGCAAAATCTTTCCTTGAATCTGAAAAATGTATGCATGCCTTTGCCCTCCTTCCTTTCCCCGGGCCATTCTTTCATCCTTCGTTGCCCAGCTGCTTGGAGCTGTTGCTTAGCTGCAGAGTCAGCCAAGTCTGTCTGCTAGGTCAGACCGTGCTAAGCCCCCAGAGCTGCGTGTTGTCTGTGCTTCTCCCCGCAACCTCACAGCCCTGCCACACAACCCCATTCCCACCTCCTTCCTAAGCACCCCTGTGGACCCTCAGAAGGAGGCTCAGGCGGACGACACCACTGTGGCAGTGACTCCATAACCCTTCCCAGGGGATACTAGCGTTTTAACTGACGACTTTTACCTTAAACCAAAAAGAACTGGTTTCTCACAGTGGACTTGCAGGCCCTGTGGCAGATTCCCGGGAAGGGATTTTGTCAATGGCAGGGCTTTCTGGTCTCCCTCCAGTTAGGCCACACGACTGGCCTGCAGTTGACTCGACGGCTGGTTTGTGTCCTGCTGGCTGCAGGCATGTCCTGTGGGTGCTGCTCTTTCACCCCTGGGTCTCCCACTCCTGGCAAGGATACTGTGAATAGCTCCTGTGCTTCCTGTAACCAGTGTCGTGAGGGAATTAACAAGAGCTGCGTTCCAGTGAGAGTGTCTTTTCCACCCAACAAGGCATACATGTGCATTTATCTGTGGCCAATCTCACTATCATTGAAAAAGAGATTTTGCTGAGCAAAAACAATCTTTTCACCTCCCGTTAATATTGGCAAATAAAATACGCAGCCAGGAGCGGCACTAGTATTTGTTCCTTTCACATGTCTTGGGATGGATTTTGCTGCATGCACGAAAGTCCAGTAGCAAGACGGCAGGGCACCTGCAAGACCTGCTGATCGCCCAGGGTAACCCATGTGTGGGGTGAGGTGGGAGGGCCTGGAGAGTAAAGCCATCAGAGCTGAGGTGGGGCGATGAGAGGCCTGAAGGAGACACTGAGGAGCTCCCCTGCTCTCTGGTGGGAAAGAACCTTGAAAGTTGCTCAAGAAATGTAACTTCCTCCTCCCTTTCCTTTCCTCTCTGCTCTTCTGTGTCTGTATCATCCCTCCTAGGCCCTATGCACTACTCATCTGTTAACTCATTCAGCAACAAAATCTACCTGATGCTCGTCTCTTCTATAAAACAACGTAGTATTTGCAAATAGCCTACACACATCCTCCTGTATATCTTAAACCATTGTAACGTACATAGCATCTCTCAGAAATGGCTTTTTAAAAATACGTTTCTTGGCCACACACACACAAAAAATCCAAGTACAATAAAATTTTATTGGAAGATAAAGGAGTTAACTTGTCATCTGCAGATATGCACAGGAAGCAAATGAGTCAATAAGAAGCCAAGAGGGAATTCCCTGGCAGTCCAGTGGTTAAGACTCAACGCTTCCACTGCAAGGGGTGCGGGTTTGATTCCTGGTCGGAGAACAGAGATCCGCACATGCTGTGTGGCGTGACCAAAATAAAGAAGCCAAGGGCCTCTGTAGATACCAGCCCATCACAGAGTTTAGATCTTTGCGTCTTCCACATGAATATCAAATCTACAGCATCGGAAGGGTCCCTGCTCCCCAAGCTAATAATCCAGGGTAAGACAGAGACAATTAGAAAATAAATGTAAGACCACGTGACACTTACTCTAAGTGCAATAAACAGTTGTTTAACAAATGGAAAGAGCAGTGGGCTGGAGTGGTTGTGGAAGATTAGATGGGGCTCGTAAGATTTGACCTGACTCTTAGTTCAGCAGAAATGGGGGACTTGGACACGGGTCTGGGGGGCGTCATTTCGGAGGGCAAGAGAGATCACTACGGAGGACAGAATAGAGGACTAAGAGAGTCCCCACAGCCCAGGGAGGGCCCTTCCTCTCAAACTACCTTTTCAGCCTCTGTGACTTAGTGATTTCCATCAAACTGGTGAGTTTTGTGGGGGAGAAACAAGTTGTCTTCTGAACTGATTGATAAATTTCCACCATAATGGCCCACTGATGTAGCCCTGCATCTGTTCAGCCTTATTTGAAAGGAAATAGGCATTAAAACAAATTATCCTATTATGTTGTTAGTTTAAAATCACTTAATAGGCATGATAGAAATAGCTGTATTAAAGATGATCGGCTAATGTTATTTTCCATAACCACCAGTGAATGCTTTAAACGGAACTTCTATTTAAAGGATTTTGATCCTCTGAAATAGTTTACTTTTAGGTGTCTATACATGGGCATAATCCATACTTTGAGTTTCTGGTTTACTTTTGTTTTGTTTTGTTTTGTGGTACACGGGCCTCTCACTGTCGTGGCCTCTCCCACCGCAGAGCACAGGCTCCGGACACTCAGGCTCAGCGGCCATGGCTCACGGGCGCAGCCGCTCCGCGGCATGTGGGATCCTCCCAGACCGGGGCACGAACCCGCGTCCCCTGCATCGGCAGACGGACTCTCAACCACTGCGCCACCAGGGAAGCCCCATACTTTTGAGTTTTAGCTCCATGGTGCAGTGGTATCAGTTTTCAAGAATATTTTTGTACTCCTGAAGACCTTCATCTGAAGAACTCAATATCTTTCTCAAATAAGAACCTTTTCAATCTTGATATAAAAATAGATATAGCATTTTAAGAAGGACAGGTAGCTTTAGGGAAATGGAAACCAAATATAATTCCAAGGTCTCTCCTACCAAAGTGGGGGAGTAAGATCATTCTGTCTTTACTACTTAGTATTTTTTTATTAATTAATTAATTTATTATTTATTTTTGGCTGCATTGGGTCTTCGTTGCTGTGTGCCGGCTTTCTCTAGTTGTGGCGAGCGGGGACTACTCTTCGTTGCGGTGCTCGGGCTTCTCATTGCGGTGGCTTCTCTCGTTGTGGAGCACGGGCCCTAGGCAAGTGGACTTCAGTAGTTGTGGCACGCGGGCTCAGTAGTTGTGGTGCACGGGCTTAGTTGCTCCACGGCATGTGGGATCTTCTGGGACCAGGGCTCGAACCCATGTCCCCTGCACTGTCAGGTGGGTTCTTAAACACTGCACCACCAGGGAAGCCCACTACTTAGTATTTATGAATATAAAGTCACAGAACTAAACTGTTTTCCTAAGAAATGCCTTAAGTTTACATTTTAGGTATTTGTCTTCAGATAGATTTTTCAATACTGTTTTTAAAATACTCAAGCTTAAATGTATTCTTGTGTAACTTCACGTACTTAAAACTGTATTAATTGTCTCGTTAAGGGAAACTAAGGATTCAAACTTCCTTCAACTGTGTGTTATTCTCCACCCCACCCCCAAACTTCACTTTAAAATTTACGCAAAAGATGTGTCCCTTTCCTTTGAAACAGACAAAGTTTGAGAAGTGAACTTGAAAATATGAGAGCTCTGAGACCTTGCCGCTTTTGTGGAGTTTAATGAGAACCGTGGCCAGAGCCAGGAAGGTAGAGCCCAAGCAGCTATAGGCGAGTGTGGGTTGTATTTGATGTTCACAAAAGAATGGCAGTCGCAGGGTGTTGCTCAGCGAAGTGTGCATTTTCAAGTTACCCACAGTGGTGTCTATTGTCCTGTTTCTCAGCTGAATGATGTCATGTTTCATTTAAGGCTCTTAGTGATGCTGAAATCTGTGGTCTGCACACCAGGGGGAAAAAGGCAGGGAGAAAGTTGCCAATCAGGTTTTTGTAAAGCCTTTGTGTGTTGGGTTTTGAGAGATAAAAGCTGACTCATGCAATATTTCTACGGAAGGAGCTGCACAGACTAGTAAAGGCTTCTGGTTTTACCTGACTGAGCTCCCAGTGAGGTCACTGCATCAGCTGAAGGCAGACAATGCGGCTCAGCCTGGGTAGAGCCCAGGTAGGTGCAAATGTGGATGTGCCCGCGGAACCCATGCCCCACACCCTCGGTCCTTCCCCCTGGAGCAGCGGAACCCGTCAAGCCTTGGTGAGAAACCGTCGCAGGGGTTTTCTCCACCACACTGCGCAGGGCCAGCAGCTTGCTTGCATATATTACAACTGTTCTGTTATGAACGCGAGGTACTGAAAAGAGTTCTCCAACAATGGGATTAGTCTAGAAGGTGATTTTTTTTCCTCCCTCTGAACTGCAGTCTGCCTTCAAGGGTGTTTGCCTTGTTTCGGTTTGGATTTGCTCTCCCCTTAAAGTTAGGTTGAAATTAGAGAGCTGATGTTGGTGACGCTGGGGAGAAAACTAAAACCCTAAGCGTTCGTGCAGCGACTGCTGAGTACTTTCATGTGCTTCCCTTATGAGGTTCATGCAGGTTAAGCGGGGGGGGGGGGGGGGGGGGGGACAAAATCAATGTTTGCAAATTTTATGCTTAGCAACTGTAGTGATGAAACTCAGCCTGAGTCTGGTGGTAACCAAAGTTGACTAAGTAAATGCAGTTTCCACGTTGAGTGTTTATTGGTAAGAAATCCTTTTGTTAGCAGGAATAATTGGAGAGAAAAGGGCATGGATTGTAGTCAATGCTGTTGCACATTAGAATCTTTTTTTGGTTATTTTTAAATTATTTTAATTTAGCGTTACTAATATATTTTAGAGAAGATGTATATATTTGGCACTCCTTTTCATTAATCATATTGAACATAAAATCAATTATTTTAATTTAAAATATTTAAATATTTGATACCAGCCAAGGTTGTGATTTTTAATTTCTTTAAATAGCTTTTTCAGATTATCAAAGTGATACACTTATTGAGGAAAAGTGATATTTACAGATAAATATCAAAAGAAAAATCATCCATTCTCCTATTTGGTAAAACCAGTGTCAGTATTTTATTCTATATCCTCTCAATCTTTTTCTCATGTGGATAATAAATAAGTAATATTTTAAATTCAAAATTGGGATCACCTTGTACCTATATTTCGTAAACCACCCATATTACTCAGCTGTAATTATGACCATTTTCTACACACTTAAGGATTTGAAAGGGCATGACATTTGATAGTTGTATATTGTACTTTCTAGATGGATTTATTCACTCAGATCTCTATTGTTAGACACTGAATTCTCTTCCTCCTCTTTTTTTCTCTGAGGAAATGTTTAGTGTACTTTATGGATGGTTTACTTTCTCAGAGTGCTATTACTAGCGTTAGTGTTAGTTATTTGGATTTCTCCTCTTCCTCCTCCTCCTTTTTCTTTAAGAAATGTTGTTTAGCCTAATCCTCCCTCTGAAATGCGCAGAGATGTTTTTGGAACTGAGCGTGCTCAATGCAGATGGAGCCTGTGTATGTAGCTATCATTGTTTCGGTACTGCCTTGAGACTGAAATTTCCACACGAACAGGAAGGAAGCTGGAGCATAGATTATGATTTAATCTGAATTAAAAATAGAGGGTTTTTAGCCTTTGGCAAAGTCAGTGATATACATTTCATCATCTAAGACCTGGCGTTAGGAGAATAGAGAAGAAAATTGCTATTTTGTGGTTACTGCTTGTCCTGTGATCCCAGCTAGGAATGGGCCATGCAGATGTGGTAGCCAGTGACTTGGTGTTGATTTCAGATTAGGAGCTGCCTCCCCACTGTTGGATGGCCCGGGAAAGTCATCTAGTCCAGCTGCCTCACTTATGTGTGAGGAAACCAGAGACTCAAAGATCACAATACAAACCTCCATGGTACAGAGCCAGGGCAGAAATGCAAATCCCCTGAAGGAGAAACTGTTATGTCATAACTTGATTTCTGGCTGGTCCTCTGAGCTCTTTCTGCACACACAGGTGGGCACATACTCATTCCTTCCCACACACACACGCTATTGGCACATTGGTATCATGCACTTAATACAAGTAGCTTATGTTTAGTGCTTCATTTCCTAATCTCTAAGCTCTTTTTCTGCCCTCTTGTATGAATCTATAGCCAAGTATAAGAAATAATGGACTAGAAATCAGAAACCATAGTCTCTGATTCACTGTTCAGGTTTGAGCGTGATGTTACCTAACCTATCTTTTTTCCCATCTACAAAATGTTCTAAAGGTAATGACACATGTGAATGAACTGCGAGGCTCTGTGTGAGGGGGAAGGGGCGTGTGTTTTGTTTTGTTTTTTCAGGATAATTTTGACAGAGTTAAAGCTCTGGCACATCATGGTAAGGCGGATCTGTTATAACAGAGGTTGTTCTGGTTATCTCTCATTGCGTTACAAATCACTTCAGAGCCTAGTGGTTTCGAACAACAACAATCATGTCTAATCTCTCAAGGTTTCTGTGAGTCGGGAGTTCAGGAGAGGCTCTTCGAGGTGGGTATGGTTCAGAGTCTCCCGGTGCTGCAGTCAGACATGACAGGGCTGGGGTCATCTCAGAGGCTGCTCTCTCACACATCTGGTGCCTGAGCTGGAAACTCTCAGACAGCAGGGGCCACGTCAGCCAGCATCCCTTCAGCTTCTCTCTGCATATCAATGGGGTCTCACCACATGGTTTCTCCACAGCACATCAGTTTCAGGATAACCAGACTTTTTAATGGGGTGGCGCAGGGCACATCCAGACCCAGTTATTGCAAGGCCCTTCTGTCTTCGTGCTCTTCCATACTTTAGGGCATTGGTGTCATGTTCATAGCTCAGGCAAAGATCCCTGCCACAACTGGGTCCCCGTGGGAAGGGAGAAGAACGTGGAGGACCAGTGTCTGATGCTTGAAAAGTGGACCCCCAGAGGGACATATATCTTTTCCACAGGTGAGAACTTGACCACATGGCCACATCTAATGACAGGAGGCTGGGAAGTGTGCTCAGCTGAAACTCTATTCACTAAAGAAGAAGGGGGGGTGGGTTTTGGTGGACAACTACCCATCCCCCTGAAAGTGATAGCAACCCACAGAGTAGCTTTAACCCCACCCCATAATCTCCTTCACCTCCCACACCAAATCACCTCCAAAAAGCAGATAGTAAAAGTAAAAAAACTGTATTTACATGAAGAGACTTAAGGGAATTCCCTTAGGTCCTCTTCTAACCAAACCGACATGCCTGTGACCTGAATAGAAATTCAGGAGTCACCACCTTAGCTAAGGCAATTTAGCTAATATGTTAGTTGCATTAATTAGGGGTATCTAACTCAATCCCTAGTCAACTGCAGGAGACATTGTACCTCTTAGTTTTCACTGACTGGACAGGAACCAGTTAGTAAATAATCTGAATATTTAGTATCAGACTTTACAGCCCAAAGAAATCTTTGATTCTCTTTCAACCCCTCACCTCTTGTTTGAACAAAAGCGTCTTTGCAAAGCAGCTTTTCCTATCCTTGATCTTCTTGTCCAAATTTTTGCTTTACTGACTCTTCAATGGTAACAAGACTTTTTAAAATTATTTATTTTGGAAAATTTTTTAATTTACAGAAAATTTGCCAAATAGTTAAGTGTTTCCGTATGCCCTTCATCCAGCTTCCCCCAGTGTTAACATCTTGCATTACCAGAGTACACTGGTCAAAACTAAGAAATTAACATGGTAAGAAGATTTTTTTACTTCTTCATTACCAAACAGCTACAAATAAAAATGAAAATCATGTTCCTTGGATTGAACACTCTGAGCAAAAACGTGTAATTGTAGCCTTGGACTTACCATTAATACAAGAATCATGTTGGTATTTTAGAAAATGAAGAGGTTGATATCTGGTAGCTTTTATCTACTGAGCCCTTCACTATTAACCCAGAGATGTGTAGAGGAGAACTCCTCAAATAGTTGGTGTTGTCTTTGAAATATATAAATGAATATCTTTATAACTTTGACTCAAAAGTTTGTTTGTTTTTTGAATCATCAAGTCAGTTTACAACTTTGAGGCTCTACCAAAGACTCAAAGTGAACTTTGCTGGCTGATAGAATAACTTCTTCCTTATACTTTAGTCCCTCTATTTCCTCCTCTTCACAGAGAGTGTGATAAGGAACTACATAATTTTAGTTATTCACTGGTCCTGAGCACTATACATTCTCTTGATGTCCATGACTGTCCTGCCAAGGAACTCCAATTAGGTATTTGAAGTCTAGAGTAGCAATAAGCAGAATTTGGAAATCCTGATCACTCCTCCTCCCAGCTGTGCATATAGTTTTTTTTTTTTAATTCATTCATTCATTCATCTATTTTTGGCTGCATGGGGTCTTCGTTGCTGCGCGCGGGCTTTCTCTAGTTGCAGCGAGTGGGGGCTACTCTTCATTGCGGTGCATGGGCTTCTCATTGTGGTGGCTTCTCTTGTTGCGGAGCACGCGCTCTAGGCACGCAGGCTTCAGTAGTTGTGGCACGTGGGCTCAGTAGTTGTGGCTCTTGGGCTCTAGAGTGCAGGCTCAGTAGTTGTGACGCATAGACTTAGTTGCTCTGCAGCATGTGGGATCTTCCCAGACCAGGGCTCGAACCCATGTCCCCTGCGTTGGCAGGCGGATTCTTAACCACTGCACCACCAGGGAAGTCCTGTGCATATAGTTTTGCCTTGCATTGTAAAGCTCTCCTTGGGTGTTGTGACAGGGTGTGGTCGGCTGTGGCCCCATCAGTCTCCCCTTCAACTTGTAAACATGGTCAGAGAAGCATGGACTTTTCCTGCCAATGAAAGTTCTGCTTCACCCCTAAATCAGCCTCAGAGGCAAGTTAGAGCCAAGAAGTGCTACTTTTGATTCTGACAGTGACATTCCAAAGGAGGGCAATTAAAATAGTGGACGTTTGAAGAGCAAACAAAGAAAAGCCAAGGAATTCAAGCTCTTTTGCCGAGAAAAAAATTAGGGAGGCTTGTCGTGAAGTAAGATGTGTGAAAGTTATCTGCATGGGAGCCATACAGCCATATTGTTCTTTTTCTTGAGAATGGGACGAGAAGGAATGTTTTTATTTTGAAGGCTTTTAAGCTACAGTACTCCTAGTTGTAAGAATCAAGGCCCCTCTACACGTGCTTCCGCCACCACCACGTCCAGGTTTACCAAGGGTCAGAAGGACCAAGACCCTCAAGGTGGGAAAATCAGCTTACTTTAGGGTATTCATGGTCAAAAGATCCACTAACATGGGCCATTAGCAATGATTGGCAAGTTCTCAGAAGTTGCTATATTATTAGTCCTGTGTTTGAGATCTGGTAAGAAAAAGAGAGAGGCTTTGAGAAGGAGAGCAAAGCGAAGCAGCAAGTTACCCAAATGTTAACACAATCACCAACATCTTTCACTCAAGGGGAGGATAAAGCTTTCTTTTTTTTTTTTTTTAAATTCATTTATTTATTTATTTTTGGCTGCGTTGGGTCTTCTTTGCTGTGCATGGGCCTTCTCCACTTGTGGCCAGCGGGGGCTACTCTGCATTGCGGTGCACGGGCTTCTCATTGCAGTGGCTTCTCTTGTTGTGGAGCACAGGCGCTAGGCATGGAGGCTCTAGCACAGCTGTGGCACGAGGGCTCAGTAGTTTGGCTCGCAGGCTCTAGAGTGCAGGCTCAGTAGTTGTGGCGCACGGGCTTAGTTGCTCTGCGGCATGTGGGATCTTCCCGGACCAGGGCTCGAACCTGTGTCCCCTGCGTTGGCAGGCGGATTCTCAACCACTGCGCCACCAGGGGAGTCCCGGATAAAGCTTTCTTGCTCTACAGTTTTCTTTCTCGTGTTTCAGTTTATCATGGGAAACCAGCTACCCCAATATCCAGTACACAGCCCTTGTCTCCCAATTCTATCTTCACTAACTCATAACAATATTGTATATTAACGAATGGAGTACAAAAAGATAAACTTCAAATTGTATTTACCTCTTCATTCACTATTATTGGAATAAAGATTGATAAGGAAGTAAGTTTAAATCTTACAGAATAATATAATTATCTAGAAGATTTCTAGATCAGCATTGTCCAACTGAAATACAATGCAACACACGGATATATTTTGTAATTTTCTAGTAGCCACATTTTAAAAGGTAAGATGAAACCAGTGAAAATAATTTTAAGAAGATCTTTTATTTAACCCACTATTCCAAAGTATGATTTCAACATATAATGATTTCAACATATAATTAATACAAAAATTATTAGTTAAGTATTTTACGCTTATCTATTTCATGCCACATCTTTGGAAGCTGGCGTATGTTTTGCACTTAGAGCACATCTCAATTTGGATGAGGTGCATTTCAAGTGCTCAGTAGTCACTTGTGGCTACTGGCTACTGTGTTGAGAAGTGCAGCTCTAGAGATAAATATTAATGATTGATGAATTGTATTAGGAGGAATAGGTCAGACAGAGTGGAAATCTTCAATTATTTTGAAGGAGGTGAGAACAAGACTAGACAGTTTTTATGAGGTACATTTCCTTATGTGGGAAAACTATAATTATATAATCAACGTAAAAAATGTTATCCATTAACAAATGCAGTTCCCTATTCTATGCCATTATATGACCTAGCTTTAAATGTTTCACTTCTGTCATTGGCAGTTTTGGAAAGTATTTAATTTGGGGCAGAAAACCCCAAGTTGGCTAAATACTAGAGATACCAAATATCTCAAATATTCCATTTTATTCTATTCAGTTGGCACTCTGAATGGGCTGGTCCAGTGGCCTAGAGCCCAAGGCCTGGTATTGGGACATATGAAGCCTTCCTTGGAACCAGGTCCAACTGATGCTGGTATATAAGATTCACCCATGAAGGGATCTCTGTTGACCCGAGTATCATATCCCACCCTCTCCAGCCTTTGAAAGTATAAAAGGCACTAGCAGCCCTAGCAGCCCAACATGGACTCCTCTAAAACATCTGGTAATTATTTGTGCCTCTTTAATCCCTTGGTCCCAATATTGGTTGGCTAACTTGGAGTGAAAGTAAGGAAAGAAATGAGTCTCTCTGTTGTGTTCATTTGTCACCATCCTGATAATGAATATTTGCCGAGAGTGATGTTACTGTCAAATATGGTTTTCTCTACTGGAGAGAAGGTTGATTCTCATCCGGTCGGAAAATCAGAAGTTGTCCTGGAGACCAGTGTATCCAAATCTCTGGGGAATAGATGATCTAGACCTTTCCAGATGCTCTTTCATATAGAGTAGTACATCCAACTTATGCTTGGTCCTAATTCATAGCCTCATTCGCCCATTGGGACCTTAAAGAACCCTTATATACTTATATAAGTTAGTGCCCATTCCTGAAAGTGGCATCAACCTCATGCTTATGGTTGTGATGGATGCCATGGTGTGTCTGCTCCTAATCTGAACTGCCCAGGACTTGCTTAACCCCAATCCGAGACATGGGTAAGCATCCTTTGCTGCAAACATACCTAAGTGCCTGGCTGCTGCTTGGATTCTTCCAGCACTCAGGTTGGAGCTGGATCTTCAGCACAGGTGCTTGTTAACTACTATAACCGATCCATGTTTTATAGGCCATAAAGCCATTACGGAGCAAGCAGAAAGAATATTGCAAAAGCTTTAAAAATTGGGGGCCAATATACCACGTGGTAGTGGTTATGCTGGTAATTTACTGCTTTTCTGCACGTTTCTTACCGTTCCTTCTTGTTGACCCATTAGTTCCTTTACTTGATATTCATAATTTTAATAATTGCAGTATAATCTTGCACAAATATTTACCATGGATATAAACTATCTAGAAAAAGTCTGGATGTTGAAGGATATAGACTTGATGGGTTCTTTTTTATTTTGGAAATATTGGTACCAGCTGTTTGATGATCTTTATTATCGAGTCAAACCAAATTCATGTTCCTTTTGAAAAGACGATCATTAGTCTATATTCTTGTTATTGTATTTGTCTTATTATAACCTTCCATACCTAAGTTTCCCTCTCTTATTTTTCTAACAAGACCTATAAACATGGATTTTGGTAGATTTTGAAATGAAACAAATTTCTTCACTAATCACTCTCTTTATTGCGAGGCATTTTGTTTCTGTAAACCTGGGAGAACATTGCTAGGGGGATACAGTGTGGATCCTGCCTTTCAAATGAAGAAGATTGGAACTTTGTGTGTTTCACCAAAATAGCTTCTGCAAGTTTAAAGTCCATGAAAGGTCTTTTTTGGACCCAAGATTTAAGTGCTGTTATTTAATTGCATGGTCACACTGTCATGTTATTGAACTCTACGTGCAGAACGTGTAGTTCATCAAATATACTCTGTAACAGCGTAACTCCATGTATACCGCAAATGGAATGCCAGCTTTCAAGAAGAGATTTGGAGAAATGTTCTGATGGGACGGTTAAGTTTTAACGGGGATGTGAGTCTCAATATTTTGGGTTTTCTTACCCAGCATTAGAAAATTATTGTCCATGTGACACTTTCTTTAATGCTGTGTACAAGTAAAGTGTAAAATTGTCAGCGTCGTTAAGTCAAGTAGTGGTGCTTCCAGGTTGGTAGCTTAAAATTTTGTGGAATTATAGTGGAATACTTAAAATCTAAAACAGTGCTTCTCAAAATACCGTAAGAATCACGTAGGATGGGTTTTAAGTACATAAGCATCACCTGTGGTGCTTGTTAAAGCTCTAGGTTCCTTGTGCCCTGAGCCCTGAGCCTTGATCTGGTAGATCTGGACTAATCTGCTCTATTAGTCATCCCAGGTGCTCACACTTTGAGGCCCTGGATGCAGTGCTTCTCAAACTTTAAAGTGTGGGCACACGGCATTGGCGTCTTGGTAAAACGCACTGACGGTCAGTAGGTCCGAGGTAGTGCTGGAGACTCTGATTCTGATGCATTTCCATGTGATGCTTTAGAAACTCCAACTCTGCAACTCAGCGTCCATGGGTATCTTCACATTTCCGTCTATGACTAACTTGCTACCTTTTTACTTTTGACTGCGTAGATTGAGCTAGGTTTTAACCGCCTTTAAACTTTCTGTTTGATATAATTTTAAAATACTTGCCTACCTTGCTTATCTTGTCCTTTTCCTTATTTATTTTTCTCGTGCGTATAGATGTGCACCAGTTGCGTCCTGAAGTGTCATCAGCTGTAACACAAGCTCCAGATCCCAAAACCACAGCCAGGCCCTCCCGCTGCTCCCAACAACTGAAAGCCATGGAGCTTTCCGACAGCGACCGCCCGGTCAGCTTTGGTTCCACGTCGTCCTCGGCCTCCTCCCGGGACAGCCATGGTTCCTTTGGCAGCAGAATGACCTTAGTTTCAAACAGCCACTTGGGCTTGTTTCCCCAGGATAAGGAAGCAGGGGCCATAAAGCTGGAGCTGATGCCAGCCAGGCCGTTTTCCAGCAGCGAGCTGCCGAGGGACGGTGCAGCCGCGCAGCAGAACACGGACCAGGGCAGTGAGAGGCAGCCCTGGGCCCAGCACAGAGTGGACACCAACGGGGCGACCAAAACGGGGGCAGAATCAGCCACCAGCCCCAAGCTGCTCTATGTGGACAGAGTTGTGCAGGAGATTCTGGAGACCGAAAGGACTTACGTGCAAGATTTAAAAAGCATCGTAGAGGTAAGGCAAATTGTCGGCTTCTAAAGTTTGTCCTGCAGGATCAACCTGTTCGCAAAATAAAGAGCAAAGCCAGGTGTCTTCTAAGATGCAAGCGTGGTGTGAATGTTTAAACAGATCATAACTTAAGAGAAACCCTAGGGCCATCCTCTGTGTGTTAAGATCCTCTTAATATTTGCATTCACGAATTGATTACACGCCAGGAGTAAGAATGATGATACCAGTGCATACACCGGTGTGTGGTGTTAGTGAATCCTGCCCCAAAGGTCTGAGAGTCTCTGGCAGAGCGTGGAGCAGACAGAGGATGGAGGCTTCCTGACTTGCAGGTGTCAGGTGTGTACTGACTGAGCCCATCAGGCTATCTTCGCCTTAATCACAACTGTCTCCTGGTGTCTAGAGCTTCCAAATCTATAGATGCCTGTGTCTCACCTCCAGAGACCGATTTCCTGGGCCTGGGGTGTGGTCTGCGGGTAGGAGGAAATTATGGAAGCTCCCCAGGTGATTCTTCCATGCAAACAAGCCTGGGAATTACCGTTTGATGCTGTTTTCTGTATTGGTTGGTATCTGAGGGAAGGTGGTGAAAGATAAGAGAAAAACCCTGGGCTTGTTCTTAGGCATTTACTTTTCTTTTATGGTAAGCAAGTTTGCATAAATTCTTTGACTCCCTGCAAATTGAACTCAGCTCAGGTACCAGATCGCAGACTCTGGAAATTCAATTATTAATTTGTTGTTGTTGTTGTTTTCTCTGTATCCTTTCTTTTTTTTAAGTTTTTATTTTATGTGGGAGTATAGTTGATTTATTCAATTATTAATTTGACTTTGATTTAGAGTTGTTTTCAAGGATAAAGTAAGAATTACCAGAGCCACTCAGATATTAATTCATTCTCAATTAATGATTTACAATATTAGTATTAATAGTTCAAAGGCAAATTGATATTATTATAAAGCTACTCTCCCTTTGCTGCCTAGTACTATCCCAGATTCTTTCATCCGTTAGTGCCTTCTTCCTGTTTTTAGAACTTTTAATCTAAAATGTGTTTCAGAATAAAGTGGTGCAATATTTGCTGATGAGGACATTCTCCACCAAATACATACATTCTTATAGCTTTAGGGGAAAAACAAATTCTAAGGCACAATTGTGTGTTGAGTTCCACAAATGATCGAACCAGACACTGTCTACTAAAAATAGTTATGACATAACTTCCCAGTAAAAATAGAAAAATCAATTGATGCTCAACCAAAACAATATGTGATACCAAATGTAGAATAAACCAGGCCAATTGTTTCTTTAATTTCATCAATGATGTCATTTGTACTTGAGAAGAAATACCTGTGAACTGCCCAAAATTTTGGAACCTCTCAGAAAATTTATGGTTGTCAAAGCTTTCTTTGGTCTGTCCTTTTTTCTTTCTTTCTTGGAAACTTTACCACTTCATCAAAACTCACCGTACTGACAGAGAAACCTTCAGTGACTAAGCTGGGATTCTGTGAACACTCTTTTTTCTGAGGCTGATTGACAAACCTTAGGTGAGAAGAAATAAGGTAAGATGTGTATGAAAGAAAACAGATCAAGACAGATTTTTTTTTTCTAAGAAAGTTTCAGCAGAAGTTTTATTCCAAGCTCTCCAAACGTTCTTGTCTTTTTTCCTTTATCGGTGCATTACCCATGTTTTACACTAGGGGTTAGTGGACTTTTTCTATAAAGGGCCAGATAGTAAATATTTTAGGCTTTCTGGGCCCTAAGCTGTCAGTCCTAACTGCTCAGTCCTGCCACTGTAGCCCAGCAGCAGCCCCAGACACTATGTCAATGAAGGGGCGTGTAAGTTCCAGGAAAACTTTATGGCTGGGCTGGACCCAAGGGCCATGGTTCGCCAAGCCCTGTATTAGACTATGAATTTGTGCCTGCATTTCATCAACTGTAAAATGAGACTAATAATACCTGCCTTATAGGGTTGTTATTATGAGAATTCAACTTGATAATACATAAAAAGCTCACACGACAGCGCCTGCAACATGGTAGGCGATTAATAAGTGGAAACTATCATCATCACGGACCTCTTCTGAATTTGCTGGTTGAGAGTGAACAAACTACTCTCGACCGGCCCAGTTCTAGCTGTCTTACCTGAAGTCTTTCACAAAAATAAACAGATTAGTAATTCACTACAGCAGAAATTTAATTAGGAAAAAGTAATTTAAAATGGGTGATTCCAACATGATTATTTTGAAGGCAATTGGATTATTTCTGAGGAACCCATGGAAAATCTGAGGTGACACGTAAGAGGGAGAGGAGAGATGAAGAAGGTTGTTGGAGGGAGGGTGCTTGGGAGAAATGTCCCAAATATAGAAGGAGGCACCGGGTAGGAAGAAGTAGATGCTGCTCTGCTCCAAAGTCACCGGGATGCTTCGAGTCACATCCCCTCCCCACCTAGGAAAGTGCAGAGTCTCTTCAGATCAGGATTGGTCACTGCAGCCTCTTCTTGACACACATTTGTGTGTGACCACCTCTGTCTCTCAAGATCACAATTTTCACAAAATTGTGAAATTTTGTTTTATCTAGTTCTTTCCTTTATGGAGAGTAACCAATTATTTTCTAGCTTGCAGCAACCTTACCCAATAAAGACTGTTATGAGGGGTATTCTTTTAAAATACAAAGCGTCAGCTCCTTTAAAAATCCATTTTTCTTGATCCATTTCTAACCTGTTTTTATAATTCTTTAGCTGAGTTCTCTAACATCCTCAATTTTTCAAATGCAGAATTTTCGGTTGGGAAAATGGCTACTTAGTAACAACCTACCATAATCTCTCACGACACAAAGAGACAGAGTTTGTTCGTTGACTTTCTAAGCAAGAATTCTTTCTGGAAAAAAACATCTAATCATTTATAGAGATAACTGGGAAGTCATTTTTCACTTATGCAGTAGCACAGTTTCGGACTGTCCACACTCTCTACTTTATTGACTTCCCACTAACTAATATCCTTCAATAATCAGTCTCGGTTTAATTTTCCTGTAAGCGGTACATTTTATCTGTAGTATATCCTATCCATACATAATCCTCACCACTCAGGTTTAGGTTTAGTTCTTAGAATTTACAAAAAGAAACATCTTTGTGAAAGGTCATTGATATATACACTGATTTAGAAGATGTTAATACCGTGCGCTTTGATAGCTCAACATGGTACCATATAGCATCAGAGTAGCTTATTTCTGAGAAGAGATCCTGCTGACTTTATCTGGGCAATAGGATTCCCAGATGTTGATTACAAGGCAAAGGAGGCTGTATGTCTCTCTTTCCCTACGTAGAGACATTGTATAAAATAATCCCAAATATATTGGTATCTTTTTCTTCCCCATGCCGTTTAGGAATTCAAAAATGAATTCCTAATGCTTTCTGAAAATTTAACTGAGAAATGTTATTGTTCTTATTGTTATTGGTCTTCATCCCTTGCATCCTCCCCAGACCCTTTTCTCTGTCCCCCCATTCCCTCCCCATGGCTACTCCATCCTCTGCTCCTTTGCCTGACATCCTAGTGATTTGCTTTTGTACACTTGACACTTGAGAGAGAGAGAGAGGTGAGGTCTTGACTATCACCCATACTGAAAGAAACAATAGAGCTGTTATTTCCATTTCTATATATGGCTCCTAATAGCATTCACAGATAAAATGAGATAATAAGTATGAAAGCAAGTTTTAAAAGTTAAAAGTAAAATCGCCAATGATACAATTTGTGGAGAGGGAGAAATTCATAGCTGGAAAGTAGGAAATAAGGGTTTCTTTCATGTTTAATGGGACGTTAGATTGACTGAGCAGAGACTCTCATGCGTAGAGGGGGTTTCTTTAATCTTTCTAAATGATCTATAAAAGAGCCTTTGACAGTCTCATAAACTTGGCCCCAGATATAGTTCATGGCCTGTTTTAACCTTTTTAGGAAAGTTTTTAAATAATTCATAGCATTATGTAATACTGTGTAATTAGAAGTTACATCCCTACTACAAAATGGCATCTTTGAAGTATAAGAAATACTAAATTAAATCATCTTTTGGGATGCTGAGGACGTGTATTTAGTGAGGAAAAAGTGGGTAGAATATTAAAAGTAACATGTGAGGTTTTTTTTTCCTATCATATTCCAGAAAGCTAAAATCCTTTTCCAAGCACATTTATCCTTACAGTGTGTTAAAAAGTTAAGAAGTGATTATTATAGCTTTACTGTGTAAAATTTAAAGAGCCAAAGCCTTAAGCAATCCTTGTTGAAAGCATTCAGCATTGTTCAAAAGCTCTTGCTACACAAGGATTATACTGTTGATCTCCAACCCCCAGCTCTTGTGTTTATTGGTTGACACGGACTCTTTGTTTATCGTGTGATAGTACAGACAGTGGCAGGGTAGGTGGATGAGAGAAGGATGCTTTCCACACACTTAGTGATATGAAGCACATTGAAAGCTATTCTGCCCGTTGCCATAGCTTAAAGAGGCTGCCCTTAGCACCGGAGGTATCCGTTAGTGGAAGGAGAACTCTCACGCTTGGGAGGTGAGCCTCTCCCAGATCTGTGCAGAGTGAATGAAGGAACCCAGTGATCACACCCAGGGCATTTGTGCAGTGACTCCACCCTTGACTCTGCCTGGAGACTTAGGTCTTAGGCTGGTGAGGTGACTAAGACTTGGATAAAATGGAATCTGAGTGGGCTTTTGTCCTATGCCACCCCTCAAGGACAACACTGTCAAGCATGGAGGTGGTTTCTCTTGAAGCCTGGCTTCCTGGATTCTGTTGGAGAGATAAGATGTTTTGGTGTGGAAACGTCAGTGTATGTCTCTGCTACTCTTTTCCCTTGGCCGTGAAAGGATGGCTTTACATGGGCATTCCCTGGACCAGCCATAACTGCTTAGCATACTTGACAAGAGGAGAAAGGTTTTGAACCAAGGGAAAAGGCTGTTGAGATGTGGTGAACTGTCATAGATTTTATTGTCTTTCTATTTGCAGATGTCCTCACTCACTACTTTCCCTCCA